AAGGAAAGAAAGGGGAGGTGGAGGTCAGTAGACAACAGCCAGTGCCCACTATGAATGCCTTCTTATGAGAATTTGGCAAGAATAATATGGGAGGTATTAGGTTTGAATCCAGTATCTTTACTCTCACAACCCCCAAAGGACAAATCTGCTAATAATTGCTTTACCCAGAAAATGCTCCCTGGTTCCTCTCTAAATCTATGCCCATTTAAATGACTTTTCAAGTCCTCTGTTTGTATAAGAGAAGGAAGTTAGCTGGCAAAGGGCTCAGTCGTCCCAGCAGTCTCATTTCTAATCACAAACCCGTGACATGGGCCATCGGGCAGTAGGTCTTAATCACATCCTGCACTCCTAATCCTTAAATAGACGGGCTTTCTTAAAGAATTGAACAAGTCATGTTTCCTGTCCAAGCATTTCCTATAGCATTAGGATGTGAGACTGGCAGTTCTTTAAAGATCTTTCCAGCTCTAACATTCTATATACCGTACTTACGAACGTGCATAAAATCTAAGCATGCAAGTGGCTGTCTCTGCTCTTGAAGGTGTTATCTATTTCCTTTTTTTTTTTTTTTTTTTCCAATTACAGTTTGCATTTCACAAAGCGTTCCCTCCAATAATTCAAGTGCCCACTTGGCACCAGTTATTGCAATATTGTTGACTGTATTCCCTATGCTGTACTTTACATCTCTGAGCCTATTTTGTAAGTGCCAATTAGTACTTCTTAAGGCGTTATCCCTTAAACCCTCCAGGCTGAGTCAGATGTTTTCTCAGGACTGGACTCCCCACAGCGTTGATCTTTATCCCTTTCAAAGAACCGTTAAAGACATGCCCTTTCTTAGTCAGGCTGCCTAGATTTAAGTTCTGTCTCAGCTCTTATTAGCAAAAGGACTCAAGCAAATTATTCAACCTCACTAAATCTTGCCCGCATAATGGGAATCGTTAAGATATGCTGGGAGGTGTGTTAAGCTCTCACGTTAGCTTAATGCCTGGAACACAAGTAAAAGCATAATAAATGTGACTGCTGTAATTGCTTTTCGTCATTGTGTTCCTCCAAAGAGCTGTATCTCCTTCATATTAGTATCCTCGGTGCTTAATAAATAATCAGGGCTCAGTGAGTGTTTGATCAATGCAGAGGAGATCTAATGGCCAGTGTTCTACTAAAATTCTGTGGGACAGACTCCTCCTCCCCAGTGGCTCCAGGAAATCAACCATCCCCAGTTCCTGCAGGCCAACAGCAGCTCATTCTCCTTGCAACCTGCAGTGGCGTCTCCTCCCAAACACCCTGATGGGACCAAATCACTTGTGTCATCCCTTCTGCAGAGCATGGTTTTGGAGAAGCTGCCTGTCATCTAACAGATGGCTTCAGGTAAATTGACCACTCCCATCCCCATCTCCCCTCTCCCAAGCCACTCCATGCAAAACAAGAATACTCTTCAATGGTGTCTCCGTCTTTTATAAAGTATGAATAAAACCCTCTTTAGAAAGCTTTGTGTTCTTAATTGATATGATACATCCTATATAATACAGATGTAATATGCAAATGGTCATCAACAGATGGTGGGTCAGAGAACTACAGGAGGGGGCAGAGCAGCAAGCTGAGAGGATGCGGGGGGTGGGGGGACGGCTAGGGAGGGCAGGGACAGCTATAGGAGGGTGGCAGCAGGTCGAGAGCTATGCGCAGGGCTACTAGTATACTGTAAGTTCTTAAAAGTGCTTAATTATGCAAATGTAGTTTTAATAGGAGTCCCCTACCACTTTCTTCTCATGCCCACGACAATTTCATATCGTATTGCAGCCCCTGAATCCCTCCTATTGATTTCTGGAGCAGCCTCAGCCAGTTGCCTCCTTCCCTACCTACAAGATTGTTTCAGAGCCTAATTTTTAAATAAGAGATGAATGATTTAAATGTAATTGGTGAAAGAAGTAAAGAATTAACTCAAAATACGATAATAGTTCTTGTAATTATGGGGGAAATGAACTTGAACTTTAGTGACGAGTTTGCTCCAGAAATCACAGATGTTTCACCAGCCATCCACCCCCAGGTACATTCAGAGGTCATATGTCAGACTGTGACTTTAATATTTTAAATCCTGAAGCTTGGCAAGTTTTACACACACTGAATTTTCTTGGGATGATGGTGTCCAAGTATATGCTGCTGCTCAGTGTCTCTCTAGGCCACCGTAGGCATCAGCAAAAGAAGTCTCTCTCTCAGCTGGTGAAATGCCATTAAACAAGGCAAACCAGAGGGGAAACTATTGAAGTATCACAATCATAGTTATAGTGTAAATGGGTCCTCTGATAGAACACAAAATTATATATTTAAGAAGTGAAAAATCAATAAAATATATTTAAAAAAAAAGAAGTGGCGGTGGAAGCTTTGAAAATTCAGAATCTTTGAAAATACTTTATAGCAATATATTTTTATTAACTGTAAAGTGTTGTCAAGGCAGTTTCTTGTACAGATTCTAATTTTTTAAAAAATATATTTTATTGATTTTGTACAGAGATAGTTAGAAACATAGATGAGAGTGAGTCATCGATCAGCTGCCTCTTGCACACCCCCTACTGGGGATATGCCCGCAACCAAGGTACATGCCCTTGACCGGAATCAAACCCGGGACCCTTCAGTCCCCAAGCCGACGCTCTATCCATTGAGCCAAACCGGTTTCGGGTCTAATTTCTTAAAATATCCCATTAATGATCCTGAAGAATGTACATAATCAGTACTCTCTATCTCCCCCAAAGTTATTAGAAGACTGTGTCAGATGCCACTAGGAATGAGAAGAAAAATAAAAATAAGCCAGAACTGAACATGACAGGACTTCAATCAGAGTATGAATGCAATCTTTTTCTCTAGGCAGGATCCACAATAAAAGGTTCAAGAGAACATAGTATTGAAACAGACCAGCCTGTTAGAGACGCAATTTTGTTTCATAGAGGAAGAAAGGATGTCATACAAGGTAAGGACTTATTAAGTAGGCTGGCTTCTCACAGACACGCATAAAAGGTAACGAATAGATAATATATTTAGACTTTCATAAAGCTTTCAACAAGTTCACATCCCAATGAGTCATCCTGCAATTGGCAGAGATCCTCAGGGATCCAGAATGACCTTCCAGGAATGCAAGTTCAATCAGCTTTCTCCTGCTTGCTACCTTCAATGGCTCCCATTGCTATCTGAAGTCTAAACTTCTTAACTGTGATAAGGGACCTATCTGGTCCTGGTTACCTCCCTCAGTACATATTTGTCACTTGTTAGCTCAGTATTTGAATCACTTTCTTATGTTTGAGAATTCCTTACCTGCCTCACATTTTAGAGATGAACATGCCATGTGCCTGCTTTTTCAGCCTTCTTGCAGCTAGGACTCAAGCAACATAACCTACACTTAGCCAATCATATTCTCCTGGACTCAGAGAAGGTGATGAAGATGAGTTTTTGACCCAACAGATGCAGGGTATGTGCCCAGTGCCCAAAGCTAGTCAGACACAGCACCACTGACTGCTCAGATGAGGCCATTGCTGTCCTTACCAGACCGCTTCTGGGTGTGATATGGGTCACTGTTTGTGATTTAAAAAATCTTTTAAAATTAAACTCTTAAGAACATATACTGCTCAATAATTCTCAATGTTAAAAAAAATGTTTTAAATATTCTGACTATGCCTCTCTGGGTAGTTTTTCTTTCAAAGCTTAGGCACCAAAGATATACTGTAAATGTTTTTTGTTTTTTTTTTTCTTTTACTAAGGTGTACTATAGTAACTCCAGATGAAAGGTGACTGGTATGATCAAGGACTAATATCTTTTTTTAATATATTTTATTACTTTTCCACAGAGAGGAAGGGAGAGGGATAGAGAGCTAGAAATGTCGATGAGAGAGAATCATCAACCAGCTGCCTCATGCACACCCCCCACTGGGGATGTGCCCGCAACCAATGTACATGCCCTTGACCGGAATCGAACCCGGGACCCTTCAGTCCCCAGACCAATGCTCTATCCACTGAGCCAAACCGGTCTCGGCAAGGACTAATATCTTTATCTTGCTTATGCCTTAAAATCTTTAAGAAAAAAAAGACATATTACTTCAAAAAAATTGGGCAGTGGATTTGAGCAAGCAAAAAACAAATATAAATGAACAAAAATGTTTTAAAAAAGTGAGGCCTCAATAATAAAATGCAAATTAAAACTTTCATCAATCAGGTTTAAAATAATGTAAATACTCACTGAGATCTGAATGTGTGCTTCTAAATTCTTTCAATAACTTACTAATGAGTTCAATAACAATATTCCTATATTGTTTTAAAGATAAGGAAACTGAGACAAGGAATCAGATACTTTCCAGCTCAGCAGGGATACAAAGCCAAGGAGATAGGGAGTGGGACTGAAAAGTTTCAACCCTCTAACCACAGGGCTGGTTCTCCTGGCAACCTGCCCTCCTCAGGTAGGGTCCAAAAATCACCTAATTAACATAACAAAAGCCACCTTTATCTCATCACTTAGGAAATCCCAAGGGTTTTAGAAGCTCCATGCTAGAAACAGGGACAAATATATATATATATATATATATATATATATATATATATATATATATATATATATATATATATAAAATCAATCATAGTTATCCCAGGATTTGGCTTTAATCTGAAGCTATAATATCACCTGATCATTTTCAGTTCTTGCACCTGAGGAAAAGTAGACAAAAAACGCACACCACTACAGTTTTCAGAGTTGCTGTTACACAGGAGAGCAGGAGGGGATAGGCCTGGAACCCAGGGGATTCACTAGTGCATCTTGGTGCTCCCATAACTATAAACAGGCAACTGCTTCAACAATGGCCTGATGATGCTAAAGTAATACTGTGCTGGCTTAGTGTAGGCACCTATTTGTTGAATGAGAAAACGAATAAGATGCATCTGTTTCTCCATTAAACTATGAATGCTCACAAAGTTCTACAATGTTCAGTAAACGTTTGTTGAATCAAGGTAACATTAAGAATGAGAAACTATTTCATGATTCATAGATTTATTAAACAATAATATATATAGTCATCATTGTCAGCCTTAATAGGAGATGTTATATTTTCGGTCCAATTTTCCTTCCTGGATAAGTTTTTCTTTCCTATCCTGAGTAAACAGAAAACAAACAAACAAGCAAACATTAAAAACAATGTATTCTGGCACAACCCATGATACAACTCTAAAAACAGGACTGAAATGCTCCAAACCTAATTCCACCTCCCTCGTTTTAAAACCTATGGAGCATGAGTGAGGAAACAGTAGTCTGAAAAAAAGTAAAGAAACTAATGCTATTGGAAAATATCTTACCCACATTTTAGTAAATAAAATTGTATTACTCCACTAAAAAGTATATATAGCAAGCAAAATGCAAATACCCGCTGAGTAAGTGTGGCCTATCTTCCTGTTAAGCAATATTTATCAGATAATCAAAAAATATACCCTCTGATAGGAGAGTGGATTGGCTGGTTTCAGGCACAGCTACCCTGTTTCCCTGAAAATAAGACGGTGTCTTATATTAATTTTTGCTCCCAAAGATGTGGTAGGTCTTATTTTCAGAGGATGTCTTATTTTTCCATGAAGAAGAATTCGGTACACATTTATTGTTAAATGAAAATAAAGGAAATTTATTACCTGAATACGGTACAGTAGTACGGTAGTTGTCAACACAAACCAGACAAACTGTGAATCCTACAGTATCAAGAATTTACTTTTATTCAATGACAATTATGTCATCATCTTCTGGAACATCATCATAACAATCCAATTCCTGAATTTCCTGGTGAATTTCTTGTGACTCCATTTCTTTCAGAATCAGTGGACCAAATCTCTCATGTTTAGCAATAGCACTATCTTTAAATGAGTAACGTCACTGGTTGCTAGACACCAGTTGGGGCGGCCCTAGCAACCAGTTTATGGTAAATTAATTTTCATTCTGAGACAGAGCCTAGAGGGGCATTATTTTCGGGGGGATGCCTTATATTTCACTCAGAAGGAAACCTATAAGTAGGTCTTATTTTCGGGGAAACACGGTAGATAGGTGGCACTAGTGTAGATGGCACTGTGAGGCCTAGAAGCTGGGACAGGGGTTCCAGCATTAGAGGGTCCAACGTCAGAGGTAAGCATGGCTTTCTCTCAATCATATACCCAAGCATCTGATGGCAGTGATGGCCAGCACGGGCTGCTTTTGCTTTCTAGTGTTAGCCTATTAATATTTTTTAACATTAATTTGCAAAGTGTAACCAATATAACTAGAATTCACATAAATAGGGAACACACTAAATGATTTGCATATTTTGTTAATATTTACTCCCCAAAAACATCTTTGTAAAATAAATGAATTCAGAAAACTAATTGCAAAAATTTGCAAAAATGATATCTACAGGTGAATCAGAATAAGTTTAACTTCTACACATCTTCTAATGAGAAAAAAAAGAAATTAAACTTCTTAAAAGTTATATTTTATATTCTCTTGTGTAATACCCACAGTATAATTTCCTCATCATCTAAAATACATCAGGAAAACTCTTTCTTGAGTAAATTCCAGTTTTAGAAACTTAAATTGACCATTTTATTACTTTAAATTCTAGAGCATCTGTTAAACTTGAAAGACCCAGAGATCAGTGATTTTTAACAAAGCATATTTCTATGAGTTGAAATGATAAATAAAATCAAACATATAACTCAATTATGTTTTATCTTGTGCTGGAAAAGAATAAAAATAAAAGAGCACAAAAACTAAACCTCAGGTCCTGATACTTACTCTGTCAGTTTTGAAAACATAATACCAGAAGAAGAGGGGCCCAATCCCCACCACAGCTCCGAGGAGGGAGTTTTTGGGAGTGGGTCTGAAATTGGGATAGACATTTGCTGTTCTTGCATAAGTCCAACGAGCCAAGGCAGGATCTTCCTAGAATTAATAACAAAAAGTAACAGAAACTTAAGCAGGGCCACACTAAGAAACAACCTCATCAGGACTGTTCTTGATACTTTCCTTTTGTTCTCTACTACAGTTAAAGGTACGCTCTGAATATTCCTAAGTAGCTTCAAGGAAAATCTTTTATTTCTATTGGCTGAATAACTCTCTGAAATTTAAAAGCACTTTTATAACAACCTTAAGCTTTTTATTTACTTAAGATTTAAGAATCCTAATTTTTTTCTTTTCTTTTTAAATATATTTTTATTGATTTCAGAGAGGAAGGGAGAGGAAGAGGGAGAAACATCAATGGCGATAAAATCATTGATTAGCTGCCTTCTGCACATCCTACAATGAGGATTGAGCCCACAACCCAGGCATATGTCCTGATCGGGAATTGAACTGTGAGCTCCTGGTTCATAAGTTGACGCTCAAACACTGAGCCACACTAGATAGGCAAGAATCCTAATCTTTTTAAAGCTGTCAGAGAAACTACTTTTTCTTTGATCATTGTGATCTATTCTTTTTTTTATTGTTTTTAGCATCATCATTCTTCTTGAAGTGTGACCAACAAAAGCACATAGTATTCCCAATGACGACCAATAAATTTCATATGCTCTGTCATGCTTTGTACTTTGTTGCCAACTCTTTATAATGTTACCTCCACACTGATCTTTCCAGGCTACAGATAACTTGCAGGAAGGGATAGAGTGAGGTAGGCTAACTATGAACTTTACGTTTTTTTGCTGATATTTTTAAGAGCAAAATATTATATTTCATACTATTAAATAGTTTTGTAGCAAGAAGAATGCTGTTTTTGAAAAATAATCAGTCTTTTTTTAAAAAAATTAATTGTTCATTTCAATATGTTTACTAGAATAACAATGTAATAACAAATATACTCCAAATACATAATTTAGCAAAATCCCCAAATGATTTTACAAAATTACTCACTCCAATTAACTAATTGATAAAAATAAGCAAACAAAATAAGCTTTAAAATCTTAATACTAAGCAGTAAGAACATTCAAGGTCCTAATCCAATGGTCGGCAAACTGAGGCTCGCAAGCCACATGTGGCTCTTTGGCTTCTTGAGTGTGGCTCTTCCACAAAATACCACATGCAGGGGTCGGTTTTCAGCTCTCAAAATAAATTTCAATCGTTGTACTGTTGGTATTTGGCTCTGTTGACTAATGAGTTTGCCGACCACTGTCCTAATCAATACCAAGAAGTCATAATTGGTAGGACTAAATTACTTAAACTGGATCTTTCACAGTAACATTTACAACAAACTGTTTGCAGAAACAGCAAAAGTGAAGACATCAGATATAAATTCAAGGTGAAATTTGAGCTTAATACATCTATTCTTTTACCTATCCTTTCTGCTATTAATGTATTTGAATGACTCTCCCATGAATTATCAAATGGCAGTCAGCTCTCTACACTTTGATATGTGATAGATCTGCCTTCTAGAAACACATTTCATAAAAATGAAATACCCCATGACCATAGTTCACTGAGCCCAGTACTGTTAAGAGATGTTTCTATACACACAACATGGGGAAAGGTTCTCCTTTACCACCACTTCACATCTGGACTACCAGCAGCATGTGACATGGGGAACAATCCTTCCTGAAATCATGGCTTTCCATGACATACACCGGCTTAATTTTCCTCCTTTCTCATCATTCCCTCTTAGTCTCTTTTGCTCTTCTTCCTTACTCGCCAATCCTATATAATACAAGGCTAATATGCAAATAGACAAAATGGAGGAACAACAAACAACCGGTCGCTATGATGTACCCTGACCACGAAGGGGCGCACGTGAAATATGGCGGGAACGTGTTACCAGGGGTGCCAGTCACGGTGGGTCGCTGGTCACTGTCACTGGGGCAAGCTTCTGGTGGTTACTGAAAATTCTTTGCTCCCATGTGCCACAATCCTGCCTGGTGCTTGCACCTGCTGCCAGCACTGGTCCAGATCGCTCGGCGTCGTCAGTGGGTGCAAGCGGCAGCTGACAGTCCCAATCACCACTGAGGGCTTCTCCACCTTCCCCTGCTCCTGAGGGGTGATCAGGGCAGCTGCCACTCACACCAGCTGACAGTGCTGGCCCCATTCATACCCGCTGCTGGTGCCGGCCCCAATTGCTCTGCACCGTCAGTGGGTGTGAGCAGCGGGAGTGGGGCTGCTGACAGATAAGGGACCAGGGGCAGCAGTGGAAGGGGCCAGGTGGGGGCTCAGAGGATGGGCCAAGACCTGCCCCTGTGCCCACTGCAGCCTCACGGCCCACAGTTCCTTTCAAGGTGCATGAATTCATGCACTGGGTCCCTAGTCTTGGACCTCAAAATTTGTTGGCCATTCCTATTTACTTTCACTCTATTGGTGATCTCCAGTCATATGGCTTCTAACATCCACCTATAGCCCTTGATCTCTACCCTAAACTTATACCTGTAGCCCTCGATCTCTACCCTAAACTCCAGACATAATATCACTATCATGCTGTCTAACAGACATGTCATATGTGAGGTCTCATCCCAAAGTGATTTCTCAGCATGCACTCCACCACTATCCCTGCTCCTCTCATTCTTCTTTATCTTGGTAAAAAGCAGGTTCATTTTTCCCATCGGCTAGTTCAAAAACCTTGGAGTCATCCTTGACCGCCTCCATCTCTTACACTTTCCATTCAATCTGCCAATGACTTACAAGGCCTGGTCTGATCTAGGCCAGGTGTCCTTCTGACCTCATTTCTTCCTACACTGCCCTCATCTTTCTCCCCATTAGCCACAATTTCTTCAGTATTTTTGCAATTAAGTAAGCACACTACAGACAGTCTTTGGGTTATGTTGGACTCAACATACGTCGTTTTGCGGTTACATCACCATCTTCCATTTATTTATATATTAAAAAAAAGTTCCATCATTTTTATGTATGTACATATGTACTTTGTGTTTGTTTGTTTTTAATTATTTATTTACCACAAGTAAAGGTCAGGAGTTATCTTTTATTTATTTATTTATTTTTACTGTTTCACTTTATTACTGCTGTGTATGTGCTCCATATGATATAGTTGTTTACCTAGGTGGGTTCCAACTTACTGTGAAAATCAAGTTACACTGCGCCATAGGAACGGATCTCCAAAGTAACCTGAGGACCTACTGTACTATCTAAGGACCCTTGTACTTGCTGTCCCCTCTGCCTAAAATGCTACTTTCCTAGCTCTGTCCCCTCATCTTTCAGATCTTCACTCAAATGTCACTTTATAAGCAAGGCCTTCCCTGGGCCTATCTAAAACTGCCGTTGCTCTCTCTTCCTACACACAATCTTAATCCCCTTCCTTGCTTTATTTTTATTATCATGGTCACTATCTAAATTGCTAAATGATTATTTTTTTAACTTACTACTTGTCTCCCCCACTAGAAAGAAAGCTCTATACGGACAGGAGTCTCTGCCTGTTTTGTTCTCCACTGTTACTGCAACATCTAAAACAGGGCCTGGCCTATAATAGATCCTGAATAATTATTTATACACTGAGTCAATCATTCTTAAAGATCAGGCAGGTAATTTTCATGTATTGATCGATCAGTACATAATTAAGTATGAGACACTCAATGAATAGAAGAACCAATTAGGCAAGTATTACTATCTCTGTTCTAAATGACAAAATTGAAGTTGCCCTAGGTCACAGAACTGGAAAAGAGAAACTCTATGGAGCTGAAACCTCAACTCTGGTTCAAGTCCTTATCATTTTTAATGACATCATACTATCTGGCACATCAAAGCTAATTGTGTATATATATAATAAATGTCTCGCTCTGCACCTTTTTTCACAAATAAGTTTTGGCAAGAGATGGTACAGCCAACTGGTTCAGCAGATGCTCTGTGTTACTTAGACCAAAGTTCAAATTCTGCTCAAACACTTGCTAAAAGAGTATCCTATCTATTATAATAAAGAGGAAATATGCTAACTGACCATCATTATATCAGAAAGATGGCTGCACCCACAGCTGAGGCCAAGTTCCCATAAGGAGCCTTAACAAGAAATCAGCAGGGACCTGAGGTTATACCCTCCCCTGCCTCCATGGGGCTTGACAGGGGACCTCAGGCCACACCCCTCACCCTGGTGTCAGGCTGGGGGACCTCAGGCCGCACACACACCCCCAGTGCCAGGCCAGGGGACCTGAGGCCTTGCCCCCTGCCGAGGGCTTGATGGGGAGGGGACCTCAATGTGCACTTCCGATTCTGGTGCTGGGCTAGGGGACCTTAGGCTGCCCCCCCCCCCCACCCACCCCAGCGCCAGCCAGGCTGGGGGACCTCAGGCTGCGCTCCCCACCAGGTGGGGCTTGACAGGGGACCTCAAGGTACACTTCCAGTGCTGGGTTAGGGGAACTCAGGTCGTGCTCCTGCCCAGCAGAGCTTGACAGGGGACCTGAGGCTGCACCCGCCCCTACCTGGCAGGGCTTGTCAGGGGAATCTCAGACCGTGTCCCCCACCTGGTGGGCCTTAACTGAGGACCTGAAGCCACACCCCGCCGTCCTGGCACCAGGCCAGGGGACCTGAGGCTACACCCCCTGCCTGGCAGGGCTTGTCAAGGGTGGGACTGGCCAGGTCTGATCTAGCCCAATGGGGGGGGGGAGGGGCGGCCAGGTCTGGGTCTCACATGATTTTGAGGTGTATGTGGGTGGGCAGGGACTTGACTCTGGATCCTGTGGTGTGCCCCAGACTCTGATAGGAGGAAGGTTTTCATTTACATTTTACTAATTTTCTTTCATCTCTGACACTTCTATTATAGAGAAAAGGCAAATAGCAATGTTAAATTATTTCCTCCAATTAATCCCCTTTTAATGTGCACAAATTTTGTGCACTGGGCCACTAGTCTATATTAATAAAAGGGTAATATGCTAATTAGGGTGGGTGTCTTCTGGACGACCATCCAGCCGTCCTTCCAGATAAAGCTGCAGCAGCTGTGAGGGCTGAGGCTCAGGCAGCCCCAGGCAGCCTGCAAAGGTCCGAGGCACAGCTTCAAAGGGCCCAGGCTTAGGCCCACCGTGGCAGCAGCAGTGGGGTAATGGGGGCGGCACCTTCCCCTGATCTGCCAGGTCCCCTCCTGCAGAGGGAGGCCAGATTGTGGCTTAGGCTGGGGCCAAATTAGAGGCAGTTAGGGGTGATCAGGCAGGCAGGCAGGCAAGCAGTTAGGAGCCATAGTCCTGGACTGCGAGAGGGATGCCCTGTGGGATTGGGCCTAAACCAGCAGTCGGACATCCTTCAAGGGGTCCCAGGTTGGAGAGGGTGCAGGCCAGGCTGACGGACACCCCTCCCCCCTGCCCTGTTGCATGAATATCGTGTCCCGGGCCTCTATAACTCTATACACTTCTTGTCCTTCCCATGTTGTCTTCTCTTCTGTAAAACAGGGATAGTAATAGAGTTTAACTCTAAATAATTGTGATATTTGAATAATATTCAGGAAAGTTTAGATAGTCTCTGGAACAATGCAAATTTCTTTCAATTCTCACAACTTCCAAAAATTCCTACAGAATACCAATGCAACTGTTGGGTAAAGAAGTCTTTAAAATCACATTTCACATCATATTTCTGCTCTTGTACAGAAAATTACCAAAAAGCACCCCTGTTAAATAAAAATAGCTATCAGTTTGATGGGCATATATTATGTACCGGGAATTTTACACAAACTACCTCATTTAATCTCACACCGACTCTAATAAAAAAGTTAATACCATTCCCATGAAGATCAGAAAACAAAGGTTCAGAATGGTTCGGCAAATTGCCTAAGGTCATACACAGGGTGGGGCAAAAGTGGGTTTCAGTTGTTCTTATGGAAGATAAAACAATAATAATACATGGGCCCTGGCTGGGTAACTCCTCCCACCATAGATCAAGGATGTGGGTTGGGTCTCCTTTTAGGGCACATACAAGAATCAACCAATAAATGCATAAAAAAGTGGGACAACCAATCGATGTTCCCCTCTCTCTAAAAGTCAATAAATAGCCGAAACCGGTTTGGCTCAGTGGATAGAGTGTCGGCCTGCAGACTGAAAGGTCCCAGGTTTGATTCCGGACAAGGGCATGTATCTTGGTTGCGGGCACATCCCCGGTGGGGGGTGTGCAGGAGGCAGCTGATTGATGCTTCTCTCTCATCGATGTTTCTAACTCTCTATCCCACTCCCTTCCTCTCTATAAAAAAAATTAAATTAAATTAAATTAAAAAAAACTATTTTAAAAAAATTAAATTAAAATTAATAAATAAAAATTAAAAAAAACAAAAATAATAATACAAGAACAAACTTGTGTTTTGCGTGCTCACAACCTACCTTTGACCCACCCTGTAGTTTGCTAATATGTAGCACCTTGGAGTCTGACTCCAAAGCCCAAAACTTCAACAAGCCGCAGGGTCTTTGGGTCTTTAAAAATACGAAGTGAAGAATCACTGTGTTCCCATCAGGTGGGAGCAGCATTACTATGAAGTGTGAGCTGAAAGGTGGGAAACAGCTTAAAATAAATAAATATATATATATATATATATATATATATATATATATATATATACACACACACACACACACACACACACACACACACACACACACACACACACTTTCAAACACTCATTACAAGCCCGGCAATGTATTGGTCACGTGCTTTATCTCAGTTAATCCTCCTAAGATGGGAGGACTGCTCCCATTTTTCAGGCAGGAAAACTGAGTGCAAGCGGCAGAGTTGAGTAACTTTCTCAAGATCATCAGGTGGGAAGCGATGCAGCCAGAGCTCAGCCCCAGCCGGGTGCCAGGGGTGGGAGCCCCCAGCCCTTCCTTCTCTGGACCCCCAGCCTCTCCGCCCAAGGTTAACGGGCTGGTGAGCAGTCCTGCTCTCTGGGCCTGGACGAGGGCCAAAGTCTAAGACCCTGACCCGGGACGGCGGCCGCCCCGCCGCCAGGCCCCCCGGGGCGGGTCTGGGCTGCCCCGCCGGAGCGGAGCGCCCCAACTAAGACCCACGATTCCCGCCCTGAGACCCCACTCACGATGAGCCCGTGGCGTTTGGGGTCGTTGTACTGAAGCAGGTACTCCCTCTTAAGCCGAGATCTTATGGCCAACCGCTCGGCTTGCGCCTTCCGGGTTTCCGGAGATATGTCATATTCAGCTGGGTCAAGCGTAGGGGGCAAAGTGGCCAGGCGCGACGGCTTGTACTTGGGGTGCGACATCTTGGGACCCTGGCGCGCGACTGCGCCTGCGCGGCGCCCTGTCTTTCTCCTGACCTTACGCCCGAGGACGTGCGCCTGCGCGCTGGCCGGAGGTGGAGTTTAGCTGCGAGTCAGCGAAGTTCCTCCCCCTCCTTCCGGGCCGCTGAGAGCGATCTGCGCGTGCGCGGTGCTTTCTTCACCTAATGACCCGCCTCCACTTTCCTTCTATGCCCTTTTGCCCTTTTTATCGGTCTCTGGTTGTTTTGTGTGTTTTTTTCTAGCAGCCTTGTCTACTGACCTGTCAGGCCTTATGCTGCGAGTTGAACTGTGTGTGATCACTTGCCCAAACAGGAAGTGGGGACTGGTTGTGTCAATGTGGACCCATCCAAGCAAGCTGTGTGACCTTGGACAGGTCACTTAAAGTCTCCTATGCATGCATATAAATACAACCAATGGACACAAAACTCTGGGGAGGGAGGGCATATTTGGGAGTGGGGAGGGAGGGGCCAATGGTAAGATATGTACAAAGATAATAATTTAATAAAAAAATAATAATAATTTTTAAAAATAAGGTCTCCTAGTTTCCTTGTCTGGAGATAATGACCCCTACCCTGTCCACCTAGCAAAGTTGTTGTGAGGATTACAGGAGACAATGAATAGATGCCAAAGTGCTTTGCAAAATGTAATTACCTAGCCAAAAGACAATAAGAGTAAGCCTTTCTGTATGTTGCAACATTAGACCCATATAACATAAAAGAGTGTGCTTCATAGGCACAAAATAATCTTTAGTAGGAGAATGATGTTATAAGACAAGTGTTGCCTGCCTGACTACAGTAAGCAGACAAAAATTGAATAAAGCTCGTGAAGAAACAATGATGGTTAAAATGCCAAAACCTCTTACCTAAAATCCTTAGCACTGTTCAGGTGCTAAGAATGAGAAACACCCATAGAGATATGAAAATATGCATAGGGGAATTGTATCTTACTGAGAAAGATGATTTAGGGAGAAAAGGAAAGTAACCTAAAATAAAGCCTTCTCCATCCCTATTGTCTTTCCCCCACCCCTACTATGGAACGAAAAAGCAACTTCAGGTAGCATGGCAGAATCTTTAGGTGCCAACCGGATATTCCTCAAGGGAAAACAAGTAAATAGTATTTCCGTAACTCGGGCAAGGAGAGTGGGATCAAAAGAGAGCTTCAGCTTGGATGTACTGTCTGGGGACCTGCAGGTATGCTGGGAAAATGGTTGCTAGGCAGAGAAAGGACCTAGAAAGTGTTGGCACTTGAAGTGATGAAGAGCAGCATTGCTGTCAAATTTATTCAACATTTTAATACTGTTATAAAATATTTATTAAGTCCCCACGGCGTGAAGCATACTGCACACTAGCAATCAATCTCCTAGGCTCAATGGGGGAAATACAGAAGAACTGAAGGATGTGATGTTTGTCTTTGAGGAGCTGACAATCAGGCAGTAGAGAAAGAACAGACAGAATATGATAATATTTGCAAGACAGTTTAATGTCCAAATGATTAGAGAGCAAAATGGGCTCCTGAGAATGCAGGCTAGGGGAATGCAGAAAAGAAAAGGAATTTAAGACAAATCACTTAAGCTCAACTTTAAAGGAGAAAAGAGAAATTCTGTTTTTTTCAAAGTTGTTTTCAAATATTAAAAATATAAAATAAAATGAAAAGCAGGAGCAGGTTGTAAATTCTAAAAATTCTAAAGGCTACATTAATAAAGTTTCAAAAAATCTGTTTATAGATTAGACACTGATCTAGGAAGAAGGGCAGTCAAAAGAATGAAAGAAAAAAGAAAGGAGCCGAAACCGGTTTGGCTCAATGGATAGAGCGTCGGCTTGGGGACTGAAGGGTCCCGGGTTCGATTCCGGTCAAGGGCATGTACCTTGGTTGTGGGCATATCCCCAATAGGGGGTGTGCAAGAGGCAGCTGATCGATGACTCTCTCTCATCGATGTTTCTAACTCTCTATCTCTCTCCCATCCTCTCTGTACAAAATCAATAAAATATAGTTTAAAAAAAAAGAAAAAAGAAAAAAGAAAGAAGTGCAATGAGTATAAGCCAGCTGACAAAGATAAAAGCGACCTTTAAGGCTTAGAGAGAGGGAGACTGAGAAGATAAACATCATTTTGCTTTAGTTAAGGTGGTTATTCCCACACTTGCTGAATTATCATAAGGCTCTCTTAAGATGTTAAGAATATGTAATTCTAGGTTGTTTTTTGCTCTTGGAAATTCAGATATGGTCTGGCAGGGGAACCCAGGGGTCTGTATTATTTTACAATTTCCTGGGAGGATCCTAACAATATTGTGTATTTGAGAAACATAGAGATGGGTATAAGAGGTCTTCTTTCTATCTTCCTTTTCCCAGAAAAGGCACCCTTAGAGAGAATCTATTGAAGATGGAGACCTAGATTCCAGAATGAAAGAAAAAGACTTGATTGGGATGTTATCTTGCAATAATGCAACCAAAGAATTATGAAAATGAATTAATCTTTTTTTTCTTTATTGACTAAGGTATTATATATGTGTTTTTATCCCTCCATTGCTCCCCCAACCCCCATCTCTTCCCTCATACCCTCACCCCCCTGGTGTCTGTGTCCATTGGTTAGGCTTATATGCATGCATACAAGTCCTTTGGAATTAATCTTATATTTAACACATTTTAGGTTACAATTACAATTATATGCTAAGCTCATTATTCTTTACTTTGCATTTGATTTTTGCAGTAGGGTCATTTTTTAATAAGTTTTGAAGGCTTTATCCAGTTTTCCCAAGGCCCTCTCTTAATCCTTTAAAACAAAATTACTTCCTTTACAAGCATTGGTGTAATTATCTTGATTATTGATTTTTTCCTCCCATTTGTTATCTGTCCTGAGTCTGTGAGATTCTCCTTATTAATGACTTTGCATCAGTCAATTCACCAGCATTACTTCCATCAATTTCATGAACTTTCACATCTTTTGCAAGATTTTTTAATATACTTACTTGTATTGTATTTGAGGGCTGGATATTCCCAAATGGATGACCAAGACTTTGTTAGAGGTGGGTGTAGGCACTCTGGTTAGTAGATGGAATAGTTTAAGTGGGCAGCAATTTTACAAGTGGTCAGTAGATCAATGTATATTTCATGTTTTGAAGACTCTTACTTTTCTAAGAAATCTCCCAGTAGAACTTATTGGAACATGGGTTAGAAAGATTAAATATATTTACCTGCATTTGGCTGGGATGGGGAGAGTATTGGAGGAGGAGAGAAGTGTAGATGTGCAGGGTGGTCAAGCTGTGTGAGTGTGGCAGAGTTTCAGGGAACAGAGATGGACAGGTGAGTGCAGAAACTGTAAGAAGCAGGCAACTCCCAGCTTGCAACACTATGAAGAGCATTTCTTCTTTTAATTGGTAGGATCACAGGCACATTTGTGAATAAATTCCTAACTTTGGGTTGAGAAATGTAAATGCCAAAAGAGGTAGAAGCCCTTTATCAAAATTAAGAAAACCCTTTAAGAAAATTCCCTTATATTCCCTGTCAAAAGTTTGGTTTTTTTAATCATAAATGAGAGATAATTGATCAAATGCTATTTTTACATTTTTTATCTGTCATCACATTTTTTTTCTCTGCTAATATGGCAAAGAAAGATGGAAAACCACCGAAGCTGGTTTGGCTCAGTGGTAGAGCGTCGATCTGCGGACTTAAGGGTCCCGTGTTCGATTCTGGTCAGGGGCATATACCTTGATTGCGGGCACATCCCTGGTAGGGGGTGTGCAAGAGGCAGCTGATCGATGTTTCTCTCTCATCGACGTTTCTAGCTCTCTATCTCTCTCCCTTCCTCTCTGTTAAAAATCAATAAAATATATTTTAAAAAAATAAAAAATAAAATAAAATTTTAAATATGTTTTTACTGATTTCAGAGAGGAAGGGAGAATGAGAGAGAATCATTGATCAGCTGCCTCCTACACACCCATACACTGAAGATGTGCCATGACAGAGAAACGAACCTCCTGGTTCATAAGTTAATGCTCAACCACTGAGCCATGCTGGCCGGGTTTTAACAAACTTTTTTTTTTTAATTAACATAAGTTTAGAAAAATGCACAACACAGCTGGGTTTGCTTAGTGCTTGAGTATCGGCCCAGGAATCAAGAGGTTGCAGGTTTGATTCCTGGTCAGGGCACATGCTGGGTTGTGAGGTTGATCCCCAGTGGCAAGTGTGCAGGAGGCAGCCGATTTATGTTTCTCTTTCATTGATGTTTCTATCTCTCTATCCTCTCTCTCTCTTTTTTCCTCTCTCTAAATAATGTCAATGGAAACATATTTTTTAAAAAGAAAAATGCACAAGTCATACATATGCTGTTCAATGAATTATTACAAAGTGAACATACCCTTGAACTCATACATAATCATTTTTATAATAGTTCCATCTGAATTTAAAAAGAATGTATATCCATAGACATTCAGTAGATTTGATATCTTATATCTGTATTCATCTTTGTCTACTTGATCTATTTCCAATATAATGGCATATTATAGTTTCCTGTGCCATTGTGGGCTATTAATTTCTTGACCAAGTCTAAAATACATGGGATAAATTGAATTGATATGGAAACATTTTAATGCCCAGGCATCTGTGAATTGTTTTTACCATAAAGACAAAGCAATTCATACTAATGCCTGGTTCATTCCATCCATTTAGTGTGCTGAATACAAACCAAGCAAGAAGAGAGAGAGAGAGAGAAAGAGAGAGAGAGAGAGATTTCTACTTAAAATACACAGTACACTTAGAAACACATCTGTCATGTAGACATTTCCAAAAGCTTATGAATATTACATTTTGCATTCCTCTTCTTCAAAGACAGTTTTTTGTCTTAGTCTTAGCATAGATCTGTTCTTATTAATAAAGTCACTTACATAAGCATATATTTATACTTGGAAGGAAAAATAAATTTCCTACAAAGTGTAAGGTGATATTTTCTTGCAAATTATCAATTTAACATAAAATTAATCCTTTTAGCTGAGGCTCTGTCATGGCTTTGGGGCAGGGGAGGGATAAAGTACTACCTTATCATTATCTTTTACTTGGG